TATATATATGTATATAGTTAGTAGCATAGTAAGTTAAAACATAAAAACATATAGCTAATTCAAACGAAAGCTAATATTTAAACTACTTGTATCAAAATTCGTTATCAGTCTAATACCCGAGCGGCACACACTCGCCGTGCCGGAGGCATACGTTTGCACTACGACGATTTTTAGTTGGCACTTCCTTTGGCTTTTCCTTCAGAAATCAGCGAAAATCACCGAGGTATCAATTTACCACTAACAGTTGACGCTACGGTGCTTCCCCACATGCCATTAACTCTAAATAAGGCTACCATAAGGCAGCTTAAGAAATTCTTCACTAGTCCAACACATAACTAACTTAAGGTGATAGAATTAGGCGTTAGCCAGTAGTTTTTAGCCAAATGTCTTTCATATGGCGGATTCTAAAGGAAAGCCTTCCCATTAAATGGAGACGATACTCGTATGCCAGATTTGTGAGAGATATCGCCTTTTGTGCCGCTCGGGATAGGGACAATACTCAAAAATCAATGAAAGGATTTTGTAAAATTCCAATATTTAATCTTGAGAGAAACGATTGAACTAAGGTTCTTAAGAATTCTGTATTTTGAATCTCAAACAAAGAGACGCAATAAGAATAAATCCGGAATATAGAAATCATCTACAACATGACAAAAATTTGTTAGGGATGCCATTTTCATACGAAAATGTTGAAAACATATGGAAACACATAAACGAATATGATACATTTTAAACACTTTTTGTTGCAAGATAATTGAGAGACATTGACTTGAATAGATAGGTATTAAACTTTTAAATGAAATTATTTTTACACAGTTTATTCACAATGGTTAAATGTTATCCAAAAACTCAAAATATGATCGAAAGAGTCTATGTCTCTCGCTCACTTCATTATCGCCATAATTAAACGAGTAGATAGATACATTTTTAAGATAGTATAGTACATTTTCGCATACTTGTATTTGTTCAAATGGTACTTCAAATGAGAAGGATTCATTGTAGTATGGATTCAATGTACATTTCTTGATACTTGTTTTCTTTTTCTTTAAACGCTTTCCATTCTGCATTATTGCTATCTTAACATATGGGTCTGAAAATAAAGCAATTTTTATTATTTAACTCTTTTTAGTCAGTTGATAAAAAGATAAATGTTTGATAATCAAATATTATAAAACATAATTAAGTTTACAACTGAGATAAACCTAAAGGCTAACTCGATTACGATATATCTACCTGACAGCCCACCAACATCCATCTTTTTTAGATTTTTCGCTTCCAATATTACAACAGTCAGCTTGCCAGCGGTTGGGACGTATCGTAGTGAGAAGCAGATATCACCCAACTTCTCCTAGAATTTTTGATGGAAAATTAATTCATTCCGTTTTCGATGACATCATTATCGATAAACGCATTTGAAGCCATTCGTATTTTTTGTTTTTCACATTTAAATAAGTTGGTGGTTTGAATCCGTTTGAAATAAGGAAAGATATGAGAAAAAGGAGAAAAGATAAAAATATTTATTACGAATATTTCAAGTTTAAAAAAATTAATTTGTTGCTAATAGATTTTTATAATAAGATTTCGTCAACAAAAAGCATAAAATTTACATTATATTTTTACGAGTTCATTTATATTTACTAAATTTATCAAAAAATGTAATGACAACACTTAAATAAAATAGATACCAATAATATCAAATGCATACATATGTAGGTATATGTTATTCTGATAATTAAAAAAATATTTATGAAGAGTGAAACAATTAAAGCAGTAAAGGCTTGATAAGAATTTTTTAAAAATAGAAAATATATCTGAACATGAGAAGGGAAAGATTCTCAGAAGGGTGAACATGAGAAAAAATATGTAGTTTTAAATATTTTATGTTTAACTACTCCGTTCAAATAATTTCTTTAATTAATAAAAGATATAGATATATCACAGTCTTATGAGCATTAACGATTATAAAATATTAACACACTCTAAGTAATAATTATATGATTTAGCGTTTTGGAAAATTAGCGAAATAAAATCTACACACTAAATATTTATTCTAATTGATTAAACAATTATCATTGGATTGGTATTATTTAGCCATTTGTCAAAAAACGAATCATTTCAACAATACCTCATGAAAGCAAAAAATATCTATTTTGGATTTCAAGTATGTTTAAGAATGTTAGTGATTGAGATATGATGATGAAAATGATATCATACAATGTTTTCTGGTGGTAAGATACAACAAAATATATCTTGCAAGTTGCAACCTTTCATATGGTGATTTAGAATTCTATATCATCTTATGACAATGGCGAATAATTTGTCTCTTTTAATCAAACAAACAGGAAATTTCAATTTTAAATGCATTTGAAGCTACATAATAAAATAACTCGTCTGTTATCGATGCATAAAGATTGAATTTGAACATTAGGGTTTACAAAGTTTTACCATATAGTTTCGAGTCTAATAATATTTACTCGTCATAAATCTTAATTAAACATTGTTTTTCATGTGCTACATATAGTTAAAAATGTTGATGATAGTTAAAAATGTTTTTAAAATATCCTGATGATGAGTCAATGTTGGACTCGAAGCTGATGTTATTTTTTTATTTTTGTATTTAGATGAAGAAATAAATATATTGTTTAAGTCTGAATAGCCTTAGTCTTCAAATTCAATCTTCTTAATAAATATGAATTTCCAAATCAATAAATATAAAACTTGATTTCAATATTTGGCCTACAACCCGAACAATGCAGTTGTTGTAAAAGTAGTTATAATTAATTCATAAATATTTCTTTTGAGTTAATAGAATCTCTTTTTCTAAAATCCAAAAAAAAATTGACAAAAATTTATAAGCAGCCATACAACACAAAAAAGAAAATATAAAGAATATATCATTGAAAGCTTTCATAGCAAAAGTCATTATCAAGCCATATATCAAAATTGCGATAGAGTAAATTATAGACAGAATAATAAATAAATAAATAAAAAATTATGAAAAAAGCTAAATTTTTATTAAGGTAGCAGGAGCAAAAAAGCACAAGAAATCATAGCAAGAAAATATTTTGTTTATACAGGATACAATTAAAACTAATACTTAAGAATCAAAAAATAATAATACATGTGAAGTTCAAATTTATTTATAAAACCAGAGTTTTTATATTTCTTCGAATATGTAATATTAATTTTAAAAATTTATATAGAAAAAAATAATTTTTATTAAGAAACTTGAATACACATTTTGAAATGTATACATATTTTTTACAGAATTTAAAACTTGAAGACTGTTGCTTTGCTCTCAACGTTTTACTCAGCTACAAGCTGTAAACCGATCATTCAAAGTAAAGAAAAATATAATAAAGTTTGAACCTCTAAAGCTTCCGTGATTGAAAGCTCAAAAAATATAACATTTAAAAAGATACAAAATAAGGTATTCGATGAAAACAGTACAAAAACATTACGGGTGTCTCAAAATCCTCAAAACAAAAATCATTTTAAAAGCAATTTCGATTTGATACTTACACAAAATTCCAGGCGAATTTATCAATTTTGTTCAATTTTTCGTTTTGTTTTTGAAGCAGTTTTTGGACATGCAATCATTTCAGATTCAAGTTTGTATTTGTTTTTGTATTTGAGTTCAAAGATATTTTTACAAAATATTTATAATTAGTAAATTTTCAAAATTTGCGAGTTTCATTAGGAAGTTAAAGATTGTGTTTGATTTTTTAATTAAATTTGATGAAGACAACCATTCATTCACAGGCGTAAGCACAGCAGAGAATAATATGAGGAAAAAGAGAAAAGTATTCAAGACTTCATTACAAATCATTAAATTTTGTTTCATTTGATTATTGTAAGAAATAAAATTAAAACAAAAAACAAAAATCAAATGAAAAAGTTTCTTTATAAAATTTAAATTTGTAAGATATTTAAGATTGAATAAGATAGAGTAGTTTGAAGATCGTTGTATTTCACAGACCTGCGAAAAATTAAACAGTTATAGAGAGTTTTATCAATATTCAACCTCTTAATAGGGTAAACAAGGTATTGTGAACACAATGTTTTTTGTAAGGTATTGTGAACACACCTAATTTCGAATGCGATTTTCTTCGCTATTTTGCATTCAAATGGATCAAAACTTTGTATAGAAGTAGTTTGAACTATCTACTCTACTTCTATACAAAGTTTTGATCCATTTGAATGCAAAATAGCGAAGAAAATCGCATTCGAAATTAGGTGTGTTCACAATACCTTACAAAAAACATTGTGTTCACAATACCTTGTTTTACCCTAATATTTTAAAATCTAAATATAAGAATTCCAATTATCATTTTCAATTCTTTCACAAAAAATCGAGATTACATATAGATTTTCGTTTTTTCTCAAGCAATCAATGTTTAGTTTAGGTATGTACCTATTTTAATTATTAAATAACGTTAGTATTGAAGTTTACGAGAAAAGTGCTCTGAAATTTATTTCTTCTAATATAAAATCTTTGAAATAATTTTCCTCACAAATAAAATATATTTTTTGTGTAAGAAATTATTGCATTATTGCATATGTTGTAAGAAAATTTAAGGGTCAACGTGATTACATTTTTTGATATCCTTGATAATTTCAAGACACTCTTTAAACATTCATATTAATAATTAACAAGTAAAATGGTTTCATTGAATTGTTTTCAGGAGAAATTTATTTTGTTCCATATTTCTTTGGAATAATATTAAAGGTATTTTTGATTTGATACGTACCAAAATTAAGCTTAATAAAAAAAAATCAATTAGAATTTGCGTTCATCTGGATGATCAGAATATGTATTCATTAAAAAATGTTATCTAGAAATGGACTGGTCACTAAAATTTGACGGCTTGTTCTTAGTTAAATTCTCAACATTCAAGTACATACATATGCTGGAAATATATATTTCGGCTCAAATTCACATAAATCACTCTACAAGTAACTAAAATATGTTCAGTAAAAGTTGAAAAAAATAGTAAAAACATAATATTTTTGAGAGTTCAACAGCAAAATGCAAAAAAGCGAATGTTTAGTGCTTGAGAAAAATGCATTGAGTATCAAGAGAAGAATTTTAAAAAAGAATTAGGTAACTAAAATTACTGAATTAAATATGAGAAAAATTGCATTTCTAAACCGAATTATATATACGTTTTTCGAATTGATAGAAATTTTTGTGGCAGTGTCATCTGAATCGATGATATCGATGGAGAAATGAAAGGAAATTTCTGAATTTTTTTCTTGTGAAAGAATTTAAAGTTTTTTGGAACTGCATGAAATAAATGAACTAAATCTCTAAATTGGGTATTAATAGACAGAAAAAAAAATTAATTTTCTGACCTAAAAACTGATCCGACTTTTCGTTCCAGTTTTTTGTAACTTATTATGACTAATTTTATGTGTAGGAACAAATGACGTTACCAAATTATTTTGAAATGTCGTATTTTCAGACATAACCCTACGCAATGGAAATTATTTGAAATTTAAGAGAAAAAAATTAAACGGAAAAATGTTTTCAAGACAAAAAGTTAATAAAATAATTTCTTTTTTTAAATTCTTGAAAAAGAAAAACAAGAAACAAAAATGTAAATTCTTAGAATGTCTTAATTACGTTGGCGCATCATACCTGACCACCTTCACCTTCAACGCTTTGCAGTTCACGCCATTCCTCAATAGTTTGCGCCAAATCAATCTGACATAGAGGAACTTTAACTTCACCAATTTGATCATGTTTTGAGAAGCGATCAAAGTCAAATATTGCAAACACTAAAGTTTTATTCATGGCCTCGGCATATGGTAAATTCTAAAAGAAAGGCATCATATTTTAAATATGAGTCATTATTTGATAGATATGCTTCATCAATAACAATTTTTAAAAAATTGTTTCAAATATGCAACATTCTTTCTCACCTTGAACACAAATGTCTCATTGAATTCTGGATTAAGTGTCTTTCGGTGTACTTTGGTTTCAAACTTCTTCTTTTTGTCAGGAAGTAGGTAGACTTTAACATAAGGATCAGACGTTCCACCCATATCGAGTGCAGGTAATTCTTCTGCTTTAATCACTGTCACAGCTAAACTGTTTGAATTAAAATCATACTCCAACTGATAAATAATTGAAAGGAAAAAAAATAAGTATCTAATCTCTCAATTTAAAAATTGTATACGAACTTTATACTGCAGTTTTCCCAGTTTTTGTTCACTCTGTTTACTTCCTTCATCTTCGTGTTCCTCAGCGTTGTCGGTCAATTCTTCCATGTCTGGTTGAACCTATTTATTTTTTCCAAAGTTTTTAATAAAACAAAACAAATCAATCAGAATTGCATCTTAGTGAAATATAAACAAACAAGTAGAAATAAATATGAATGATTTCAATGATTTTTCATGTCAATTCGGTAAGGTTGTTTGGCTAACATCTACAGAAAATACAATGATAAGAAATATAATAAGTTACAGACTCGAATGTATACTGGTTAAAAGTGAAGGATACGATGGATTATTATTATATTGATAGTGATAATTTAACAGTGAAGAAAGGCTATGTAAGCTTTTTGGAAATCTTCCATGTATGATGATCGGAAAAAAAAACAATATGAATAAAGCAACATCAAAAATATGGCCTTCTACAGTTTGCATTTGTGTCAGATGTGATAATGTCAACTTTTTTTTTTTCTATTGTTCCTAGTCCCAAACGTTTTCCGTGTTTACGTTTTGATGCTGACGATTCAAATAGACTTCCACTTTTCAAAGAAATTCTTCACATGTTTTTTAAAGACTTAAATCACTTATAAGATTTTTAATATTTACAATTATATTTTTTAAAAAAAAACGGAAAAAGTAAGACTTCTTCATAAAATTAGTATTGATCGTGGCGAAGATCTCCATAGCAGGGTTTGCAGATTACATTGTTGTAACTTTCTACTTCAATTACTTTAATTTTTCACCAAAAAAAAACAAGAATAAAACAAAGTAGAATGATAGGAAGCTCAAGTCAGGCTTTTTGTGTCTTTTGTTTTCGTGTTTGGTAAGATTAAGAAAAGAAGTTTTTGAGATTACTTAAGAATTACACACACAACAATAAAGTTTTTCTTTGGTTATTATTTTCATTTTTCTCGACAGCCAAACACTCATGGACATGATTATATTAACCTTTTCTTTATAAGCAGATCCAAGTAACTGTACCGATTTCAGATCAACGCCTTTCATGCCTTTCTTTCCATCTTTAGAGCGTCTCTTCCGAAAGCACCGTCGAATACAGAAACCACAAATTCCCAGAATTATAAGTGCAATTAGTATAAAAATTGCCACAACACCCCATGTAGGAATGCCTGTCTTTTGTCCTATTGCACCAGCTACATCCATAGTTTTATCTTGTATTTTTTTTACAGTCGACTCAGTTGGTTCTGGTGTTACTTCTTCTTCTGAGAATTGAAATGAATATTAAAACTTTATGTATCGTTTGAAAGAAATTGAACATCACCTTCAGTTTCAAAAGTAGTGGTTGGTGTTGTAATTCTAACTTTATGTAAATGTTTGCCAAAAATATGTGTGCCTAGTGTAGTCGAAATTTCTCCAATTTCATCTCCTTCTTCTTCTTGAACTTGACGTTTAAAAAGCAATTTCTTTAATCCTGGAGCCATTTCCACTGTTTTGTCTAAGTGTTCAAAAAAATTAAATCCTTTCATTTATGTACTCGAATTGATTTTTTTATGGAAATCAACATGTTTAAGCGGGTAACTAAAGAAACTAGTATCTACCCTAATTTTTTTAATTCTTTATTCACTGCTTACAATTTGAGAAGGAAATTTTCTTTTCTCTGTTTTATTGATTGAAATTTTTTCGTAATCATACAGTTATTTTTCAGATTTTTTTCTAACTTTTCATAAAACTTTTGCCTAAATTTTGAATACAATTTTTCTTTAACATAAATATACTGTACCTATTATTTCCACTTTGAATTCCGGTGACGTTTTAATAAAACTAAACAGAAAAAATGTAAAAATGGATTCCGACTTATCTAATATTATTTTTTTTACAATTATTTTCTTATTTTAGAGAAATAACTGGAGCATTCTCTACGTTATTTCTCGTTGCACAAATTTCAGTCAATTACGCATATAAATTTTCAAATTGTAACGCAATTAAAAGCACAAAGCAAAACTTTTGATTTTCTTCCTTCTACTTGTTCCGTGAACGGTTTGATCGTCGCGACGTCTAACTTTTTTCACTACTGGATGAAAAATTTTCGTCAATGAAGTGTTGGCAGAAACAAGAAAAGTTTTTGTTCGGAAAAAATCGATAGGAATATTAACACTGACGAAGCATAATCCATGCGCTTTCTGAAAGCTTCACTTTGCGCAAGCTTAATGGAAAAAAATTGCAATGTTGGTGACTAGATGAATACATTTATGTTAAAAAAACAGCAGAAAAAAAGCTTAGAGAGATGTTTACAAATATTCGGTACTTTTCAAATGTTCATAAGACAATTCATAAGGCAAAATCCCAATGGAATAGATGACGACATCATCGTCAAGTTGTTTTTATTTCAAGAAAATGTTACCAAAAGTGACATCATCCTGAAAAGAAGAATATTAACATCAAAGGAACCAAAATATTAAAAACATCATTGGCATCTTTTTAATTAAATATTCCTTTCACTTCATTCTTAATCCAAAAGACTATCTACAAATGAATTGAAAAAGCTTTTTCAAATGTACAATGGAGCGGTTTTACAAAAGAATACAAAATAACATATTTGAGTAAATTAAAGTAGATAATTTAAATTTTCCAATAATTTATCTGTATGCTCGACATTTTGAATCTAAAGCTAAATATAGTAGATATAAAGTTTTTTCGGTTTGAAATATTGAAACAAACAACACATAATGTAGGCAGAATTATTAAAATTTAATATTCGATAGTTTCTGCATCTTGTGGTTTTCGTGAATATTTTAATCCTAGAGTGCTTCCAATTTCATCAATGGCTTGAAGAAAATAGTCAAGTTGTTCTCTTGTATGTGCTGCCGATAAGCAAAATCGTATCCTTCCTTCCATGATTGGAGTTGCTGGAAAGCCAGCACCAACTACAGCAATTTTCCGCTTTGTCAACGTTCTCACAACAGCACCAATTTTTGAAAAGAGATAAACTAACATCGGAACGACTGGTGAATCTTCATGTCCATAAGTTATAACACCAATTTGCGCTAAACGTTTTCTGAAATATCTTGTATTTCTTGCTAATTGATCAATTCGTTGTTTCCCTTCGTCTGTTCCATCCAATCCCATAATAATCTTCATTGAAGTGAGAATTTGTTGAGCCACCGCTGGTGCCATTGAACTTGCGTAACAATGTGCGTGACTATTAGTGCGTAAATAATCAATAAGATTCTTCGAACCAGCAATATAACCCCCAGCAGATCCAAATGACTTTGTAAACGTTCCCATCATTATATCGATATCCTTAGGATCAATTCCGTAATAGTCAGTGATTCCGCGACCATTGGGTCCTGTCGCTCCTACACTATGAGCTTCATCCAAATATATATAGGTGCCATATTTCTTTTTGATGTCAACAATTTCTGGAAGCTTTACAATCGAACCCTCCATGCTGAATACACCTTCAAGAATTATTAGGATTTTTTTCCATGGTTTGCCATTAAGAGTTTGACCATTTACTATTGATTTTTCAATGACTTGTTCCAAACTCTTCATATTGTTATGCTCATAAACCTTAACAGTTGCACCTGAAAGTCTCAACCCTAAAATAATTGAAGCGTGATTTTTTTCATCCGATACGACAAGACATCCTGGCGATATCAAGGAAGGAAGATTGAGGGCGTTTGTTGCAAAACCCATTCCAAAAACAATTGCATCCTCCGCACCTAAAAATTGTGCTGTAAGTACTTCAAGCTCATTATGAAGTGTATTTGTTCCTAAAAAATTAATGAATTAGTTCTACAAGGTAGAACATTTTAATAAATTTGTTTACCTAATTCTCGTCTTGTACTACTTGTAGAAATTCCATATTTCCCAATCGCTTGTATAGAGTCTTCTGCACAAGGTCCCGAATTCTGCGCAAATCCGAGATAGTTGTATGATCCTAAATTTATACATTTCGTTCTTGTGCCAGTAAATTCAAATGTCCACCCGTAATCATTTGTAATACGATCTTTCAATACAAGCGTGTCACTTGGAACACTGCATATCGGCCGATTCCAACAATCTTTCACTCTCCTGTATACGTAACAAGAGTAAAATCTCTCAAAAGCATCATAAAGTGGAACATATCCGTCGCGATTCTTTTCAGTGGCAACCTTTGGTACGAAGAAAAGCTGGTTCAGGTAACCAATTATCATTAAAAAGTAGAAGCCAAGGTATGTAAGGCATGCAGTTATAAGAGGCGCTTCTTCAAAACTTTCTTTTGATTTTTTCTTAGCTTTGTTATGGTCAAGAAATGTTTTCTGCAAAAGAACAAACTATAATGAAATAATCTGTTAATTTTTGATGGTTTTATAAAGTGTGTTCAACTTATCACTGTATACATATATAAAAATTTATTTCGAAGTCCTTTTGCATTCAAAACATGGTAAAATTTATTTAAGTAGTTTGGAAACATTTTCAAGTATTGATTTATTTTTCTATAACTGACTAAATATATATATATGTATAGCTTAAAATATTTTAACTCACTTGATCCTTGAACTTTGCGTTTGCTGAAGTTTTAGATGTATAGTTGTCAATTGTTACTGGCTTGTCATTTGAGGTATGACTATTACCATATCCGTTTATGAAACCATAAGCCTGAATTATTCCATTCGTTCTAGGCAATACATCATTTGATTTTTTCATATTTTGTAAATGTTGACTTTCACTATTGCTAATTTTACCTTCAAGTTAATCTGAATACGATAACCTACCGGTAGGTATGTTAAGACAACAGAATTTAAGTGTAAAACTTATACTATTTGAGATGCAGATACTAACTAGTTTTATGCCCGCCCCGAAAACATTTTATAATGACAAAAAAGCTAAAGATCTCACTAAATTCAATGAAAACTTCGAGGAGTTGACGATTTTTCTTAAATTCTGAATTCGCCTAATTCGCTTAGATAATGAAATGCCCTATAAAAAATCTTGTTACAAGTTAGGTAGTGATCTATAAAATAAAATAGAATACCTAACTAATAAAAAATTGTCGAACTCTAGAAAATCATTCAAAATCTAAAGTTTTAAAAATATAATTTATTATAAATATAATTTGTTTTTAAAATAGGTTTTATTTTTGTTTACTGAAACTTCAATTTTCAAAACCACCTCAACGAATTCAAGAATTCATTGGGCCAACTTATAAATAATACATAGACCTTATTTTTGATAAACGAAGATTTTGAGAATCCAAGTATACTTTTCATTTATATTTCAATTGAAACATAGACTTCTGAATTTCTGTTGAGTTTTTATTTGCAGCTAAATCGGATGCATCTGCCTGAATGAATACCTATTCCGATAGGACCTACATCTTCTACAAACATATTGATATGTTTTTCAAATTTTCAACGAATATAAAAAAAGTAAATACCTATTTAATCAATTAATGATACTAATTTTTTCTATCTTCGTTTGACATTTTTTTTATTCTTCTATTAATAAATATATTTCTTTTTCTTTACATTTCACTACCCTTTATTTATACTCATCCATACTTTCCTTTAAAATGTTGAATGAATATTTTGGAACCAAAATTTATGTAAAAAACTGTATTCTACAGTCAATTCTTGATAATAAATATTTGAAGGAACCAAAAATTTACATCAAGTGAAAATTCTGATCGAAGAAATTTTGTTCAGGATTTCGTCACATGCAATTTAATATCGAGTGAAATTTCTTATCAAAAGCATTTCTTATCAAGAGTTGATTGTAATTAAAATATAATTTCTTAATTATTAGGAATGTTATTTTTTGGATTATCTAATTTCTTCGATCATTAATAAACAGCTACAAAATCTTGTGGAATTTTTCAACTCAAATTATAATTTTTTTCTGTTCCAAGGCACAACATTAATTTGTCTTCTTTGTAAAATGGGTTTATTGAATTTTGATATAGTGTTATCAAATTTGATAGAAAAAAAGCAACGCAATATTAGAAGCAAAAATATGAAAATTTTTTTCCACCTGTCACATATTTATCATTTTTTTTTTGTAAATTTCCCTTAAGATTTTTGAGATTCCTTTCTGCATCTTTATAGAAAAATAGATGTCCTTTTATATAAACGCATTTTTTTACAAATGCAATAAAAACCTTTTTAAATCTCATCTTCCTAATATTATCATATTTTCATCGAAACTTTCATTCACACTTTTCCTTTCACACTCGATCTGTCGGATGATTAGCAGACTTTCAGAAGTATTTGGAGAACAAAGCGTAGTACATTATTATTATCTTAAAATAAAACCTTTTCTAACAGTTATACTAACCACATATTAAGCTTATCATTAAGTACAATACTTATTTATCTGTCATTTCGATTTTTTTTGTCCTTTAAACTTGATGAATATAAGAAATGAAAGAGATGCATATTCGTACGTAGTTCATAACCTTTCTTTACTTAAAAGCGCAGTCTTTCTTTATATATTTTAAATCCCATTATTTTGAGTTACATCACCTAATTGTCTATGAAACTCTGACATTGCATAATTATGCAAACAATTCTGTTATAATTCTACTCATCTATGTAATTCACGAACATCACATTTAATTACGTCTTTGAAAAGTTTAAAAAAAACCTATCAATGAATATAAAATGAGAATTAAAAAATCAACATTTGTACAAAATCATTTTAAATTTTTTTTTGGTAAATTATTTATGTCATATGTATTACAGAATTGCTTTTGATCTAAGGAATTTTTTAAATTATGCAAGCAAAATGTTTATTATGAGTATCATAAGTTCTTATTTATTTAGTGACTATGCTGAGAAGGGAATGTAGTACAAAAATATCAAACTAAACACATCGTCGGTTTCTCTCGATTATTTAAAAATGTTCTAATCGAAAATGTTTGAAACTTTCACATTTTTTTTGTGATTTGAAAAACTTCCACCAAGCCCAAAAGCAAATAAGAAGAAGCAAATAACACATTATATAACACCAATCACTGATATTTTTTATACTGTTAATATAGATGATCGTAGAGTATTCTTTCAAAAAAATCTTTTCGTTTTTCCTTTTTTTTTATGTTACAGAGGTATAAAAGTTACTCGACTTACTTTTGGCACTAAAAGTTTTCTGTAAAAAAACCGCAATGCTACTATGACATCCCCGAAGACGGATCATCTAAATCAGTGACAAAATTGTTTTGTATACGTTTTAAACTTTCGGATTTCTGATGGTTTTCTGATTGCTGACTAGGCTCGATAAAAATGGGTTCATCAGATGTGCGTAATGTTTTAGTGTCATCTTTAGTTTTAGGTTTAGGGAGTTGTGAAATTTTTAACTTCATTTTGTCACTATCTTTTACAACCAGACCGCCAAACTCGCGTGGATCATATTCAGCGAAAGCTAATTCTTTTTCACGACTTTTTGTGTTTAGAGCTTTTAATCTGGCCATTCGTGTATCGATAATTTGTAAATGCTTCATTATGTAATCCTCACCAGGTGCTAATTTATGTGCCTCATGAAGACAAGCATATGCTTTTGAAAGAAGACCTCGTTCAACATAAACGACGCATAAATTATGTAAGCCTTGAATATTTACAGGATCTAATTGAAGAATCTGTTTGTAACACTGTAAAACATAATTGGTTGAATAGTAAAAGCATTTGCACTGATTGTTTACAAAAAATGTGAATCACATACGTTCTCAGCTGCATCTATATCTTTCAAGTTATTTATATAAATGTCACCAAGAAGAATAAAGCCTTTAACATGATCTGGATGATATTTCACAAGCTGGTTTAAAAAGGGTGCTGCCTCCAAAGGTCTATGATCATCAGCAAGCAAAAGTGCAAGATTGAAAAGAGCACTTCTAAAATCTTGTTTTATATGAATTGCCCTACGAAAAAACTGTTCAGCTTCTTCAATGTTTCGATCATCCATAGCAAGCATTCCAAGATTAAAATAGACTCGCTCGTTAAGCTCTTCAAGAAAAGAAAAAAATGTACGAAAAATAAAGACAAATTAATGTTTTATAAACGTTCTTACATTATTTCACTTAGTTACCATCTTTTTGAAGCAACTTTAAAAGCCTCTCCTTAGAAATTTCTCTCAACTCTGGTTTATTTAATTCCTGAAGAAGGATAGCAGAATTTAACAGAGCTTGCTCATGATCTGGATCATATTCAAGAGCCTTATCCAAGTAAGCTAATGCTTGTGTTGGTTTATTAAGTTCAAGAAAAACAACCCCTAGCTGAAGTAAAATAAATATTTACATAAGAAATAATCTACAAATTTTAAACTAAATTAAATTTTATACTGAAAATTGTAGGACGTTTACTAAAAAAAAAAGCAGAACTTATTAATTTACTCAAGAAAAACTCGCTAAGAGTCAACAAACAACTATGTTTTTTCCACCTTTCTCCATAATTCATTTAATGAAAATAATCTGTTCTTCGTTTTTATTTAAACAAAACATTATTGCAAAACCCCATTAGGTTTTTAAAGACAGAGAAAAAAGAAAATAAAAAATCGAACAAAATTTTCTTGAAATTTGTAGTGACGATAAAAGATTTGATAATGTAGTTTTCACTTACATTGTAATAGATATCAGGGTTGGTACTGTCGTATAAAAGGGCTCGTTCATAAACCTCCTGTGCTTCTTTTGTACGATTTAATTTAATTAATATGTCTCCCCTATTGATGTAAGCTTGAGTATAGTCGCTTCGCATTGATATCGCTTGACGATACAGCGAATCTGCCTCTTCAAGACGAGTTATATTTTTTGAAATGAGATTTGCGAGATTCAAGAATACATTTAAATGGTTTGGAGCAATTCTTGTTTGATAAGATTCTCCAGGTTTTGCTTTTGGAAGAAGACTTTTCGCTATCAAATATGCATTTTCAGCTTCTTTATACTCTTTGAGATGGTTGTACGTACGACCAACATTGATCCACCCACCAATGTCATCTTTTTGGACTTTCACAGCAGATTGAAAATACTTTAATGCTTCAAGAAATTTTCCATCACTTTCAAGCGCATGTCCTACGTTGTTGAATAGTTTGGCATTTTTTTTATTCACCCTCAAACCGCTCATGAAAATTGAATATTCTGACTCCCAATCCCAGTTTCGATTCCATGTTTTTATGGCATGTGACATTAAAAAGGCTGCCATGCAAAACCATATCAGCTTTTTCGAAAAACATCGTTCTAAGATAAGATGAAAACCGTAAGCAACCATTAAACAGAAGCCCATTGATGGCATGTAAAGGACCCTTTCTGCGACAACAAATCCAACAGGAAAAAAAAGGTTTGACGCTGGCAAGAACGGTAGAATCATGAAAGCAAGACTCTTTTTGAAAAAGATAATAGTCATTAAAATCCTTATAAATTTTAAAATTTTTCAAATAGTAGGATTATTAAACTCACCATTAGAAGGGCATTTGCCTTACGTCGATTTTCACAACTGATTGCCAACCAAATCATCCAACCATATATTGTATAAGTCAGAATTGTCATCACATTGCGTACATCATTGAAAGATTTGATTAACTCAATCGTTCCCATCGTCCAATCGCAACACAGATCGTTAGGAAATAGGAGAAGTCTAAGATTGACTGATACGAGATAATTGTAAGTTAGTTGACGTGATGGCGTTGGGCTTACACTTGATGGATTATCAAACCTGAAGATGGAATTGAAATGTCAGTAAACCCTATTTTCTTCTTTATATTCAAGACACAAAAAGCTTAGCATAAACATGCTCGTTACAATGCATTGAAAAAAAAACTTTATGTTGATAAGTCATTGAACCAATCACCAATACAAGTAGAATATATTTTCAGCACACAACTATGAAGCTTTTGATTTTCATTGAAAACATTTTCTCTTTCTTCTTCTTTGAGTATTTCATTCTGTCGAGACAAACGGAGGTGACCTTGCACAAGTTGCGATAGAAAATATACACACATTTTGCCTATCAACATAGATGCTGATCCAGACATCCATTCATACACATTATTAGTGAAGAATTTACCTTGTAAAAACAGGAAGCTGGGATCCCATAATATGGAGTCTGGCAAATAGCAAGCCAACAGTTGATAAGCATAGAACTACGAGACGTCGAGTAGCTTCATTAGGCCACCAATTATTTGTCAATGATGGTGCTTTACCACAAGTAACATTCTGTAACATATGCTTTAGATCATTCATGTGAACCTATGAAAAAGATCAAAAGTTAAACATTTTTAAAAGGTGTATCAAATATATCTTATCATTCTTACTTTTTGAACTACAAATATTTCATATATTGCACATATTCCGCAGATTGTTATTCCTTGTTCTTTACATAACATGGCTGCAGTAACTGCAACTACCGAAAGAAATAAGTAACGCCATCCTACATTCATAAAAAACATAATTAATATAGTTAAGTATTTGAATGTGATATTTGAATGTCATTCGCCTTTACCTGTAGACTTTCTACTTAGTGAAGCTTTTGTATAAGAAATGAAAGCAGCTAAAAAAAATATGCTGCACATGACTTCGGCTCTGCCAACAACTCCTGTGACCTGAACAATGAAAAAAACATTATCATGTTTCAATTTTAAACTAGGCACTTATAAATCATTCAAAAATCTTAGGGATAGAATATTTGAAACATAACTATTCAATAAAAAATTTGTTTTTTCATTGGATAATATAATTTAGATAATTCAGGTACAAATGCTGAAAAAACATGTTGCTTACAGCTTCGGTATGTATAGGATGCACAGCAAAAAAAAGAGCAGCAATGAAAGCTACTAAATCAGGAACAATCGTTGTACACATGCTGCAAAAGAAAATGTATAAAATGTTAATTTAGAACTAAGCATTACAATTGGATAAAAGAAAGTTTTTCGTCTTTTTTTCAACATTTGTTTTTCTCATTATAAATTTGTGAAGTTCAAGAGAATTTTCCTGAAATAATAATGGTTTATATTGATATTATTTAGGAACATTTATATATGTTGAAATAAATTAAAATATCTTATCCTAAATTTGTTATGCGTTGTCCAATACTTCTTTTGAGTAAGACAGATTTTAACTTGAAAAAAGAATATTAATTTTGATTTTCGCTCTCAATAAATAAGTAAATCTGAATATCGAAGACGTTTTAAAATTTCATTAATCACCTACATGAGTTTTAAATGACATCAAATAAAAAAGGGAACAAATCTTACCAAAAATACATAATAGATACCAGAATATGCATAGCGACGTTCACTAAGTGATATCCTACGGGATCTAGTCCATGCACTGCATAATTCCAACGGAATGTGAGTACACACAGTGGTCGATATGATTTGTGACTTTGCTCCTAAAGCATGTGAAGAAAGGAATAAAAATTAAGAATTATTATGAATGAATTTTATCGAAAAAAACATTGTTTTTATTGTTATTATATTGTACGCTAAAGTTTTCTCGACAGAAAGAAACTAATAAAAAATAATCTCTATACATTTTTGTGGACAAAAAGCTTTAAAATAATTTATTATTTAAGCATAACAAAGAATTTAATCATTTTGATTCTAAACCTTTAGGAAATCAACAAGTGTCATGATGCTTTTAATTGTTTATGGATGATTAGGAATAAATATTTCAAGTAAATTCTTACTTTGTACATTGGGGTTCCCCAGAAATCGTTCATGAAAATATTTTTAAAAGGAGTATGCTGCCGTAGATCACGATTATCCTTTATTGCACTTATATCATCAAAAACAAAGCCACAGTAAAGTGTGTTGTAATAACAAAAAATGCATAGCAATGCAATAATTGCTCCGTAAATGCATGAAGTCATTATTCTAGGTGAAGTTTTTGTAATCGTAATTAGCAACAAAATATTACGCAAAAACAGGTTCCAATGTTTTACTAATTTTTGTACTAATATATTTCACGACTTCCACAAAATTATTTACGATTTTTGATATTAATTTCTATGTCTCATTTCCTCTCAAAAAATTTAAATATTCCTTTACTCCATATTTTTCTATCTTAATGTCTTTTCTAATTTCATTATTTTCTAAAAGCTGTCTAGATTTAATATAAATCGAATATTAAATCCACATGCAAAATATTTCTTAAAACATTTCAAAAACTCTTTAATACACTGTCACTCTTTTTGGGCATTTTATTACTTTGAGTATATGACAACGACGGGCGAGGCCATACGGACAAAATTATCATTTGGACTTAGTTATTTTTTTACTAAAATAGATAGATGTATTCCTAGTTATATCAAAGGTTAGGCAATCCTTATTTTATCCTTTAAACTTTTCTGTTCTGTATAGTTCAGTTAGATAATTATCTTATCAGTTTCTGAATTTTTTTTCTCAATTTTCATTGATTTTTTCTTCTTTTCGATGTATAATTCCTTTCAATTTTTTTATTTTTCAAAATACGAAGTGAACTAAACTATGTTTATGTATTTGTGGTTCTGAAACATTGATATTTTAAGTTTTCCAATTAGTTTTCCACTTCATCTACCTAACTTTTCACAAATGATTTATTTTTTTTTCAAAAAAAAAGTGAAATGACTAGGTTCCATGTCTTTTCTATTCCACCGTAAAGTGATTACTAAAAAGATGTATGTAGAATATTTCTTGGAATTTTACTTGGAAAATTTTCGTTCGAGTTTTGAGCCTTGACATGGGCCACTTAAATGAGAGACCGAGAGAAACTCTCTCCTGGAAGGAGTGGTTCATGGAGCAAAGTGCAAAAAAATCTTCTGCATAGACGTATAAAGTATTCGCAAGAGTATTCGCTATTAAGAAGAGAATTTGAAATGTGATTCGAAAAGATGAATTCCTATCATTCAATGAAAATTCCAAGAAATTGTCCTTAAAAATTTGCAAGGATTATCAAAAGTAAGAAAAACATTACAAATATCATCTTGTAAATTTTTCGTTCTATGTGTTATTCCACAACAATTGGCTTTCTGCATACTTTGAATTTGCATAAAAATTTCATCTTGAAAATGAAAAACATTTCAGTAACAATTTGTGATTTGTACAACTGATGTTTTTATTCTGGAAAATATTAAAACTAACCCTCACAAAATTTGGATGAACATCAAATACTGGAGCTTATTAAAATGTGAGAAATTTTCCATTTCTACATCCAAAAGTTACATTTCGAAATTTAATTTTTCACAAAAGATTTCACAAGTAAACGAATTCACTTCATATTAAAGTCAAATTTCCTTCATAGTTGCATAATTAAATTTATTACAGAGACAACCTGGCCTCTTATAAAGTAAAAAAGAAAAACAATTTAAAGATTCAATTTTATATAAATACTTAGCGCTTTCATGAAGATAACTAAAGTCAGGTCATGAGTTTATACTTTTATTATATCTTTAAGAAATTGAACTATACATCTTTATCGAGAAACTAGACATTCTTTTAATATTTAGGTATTATTGATCTGCAATTTTGTTTCATATCAGAATATTTATTTTTTCTTTAAGTCAATGTTTCTATACATTTTCATTAGTGAATAAAATAAAATGATTTAGAAATTAGGTAGGTATTCATAAATGTAGTAACTTTTTTTTTGTCATCATTAGTATTATTTAAGAAAGTATTAAAACAAAATTTCTGGTTTAAGGAAAGAGAGATGCGATTGTTGAATGGAATTACATTTATGCATTACAAAAATCAATCGTTAAATTAAAATATAACGTAATTGAATTCTATATAAATACTGAGCAAAACTCTTAATGTTGCTTAAATAGGTTGTTTCATTTCTGTATTTTTGCTGATACATTTTAGATGAATAGAATTCGTGTAAATAATTTAACGTCGATACATAACTTTTTCTTCTCGTCTTAATGCCTGCATCAGAACAATTCCTAATACTGCATTTACAACCTGAGTAAAGTATAGTTAAAAAAAATTAAGGATTGTCTTCGATGTTAAAATATTTGAAAGAATTAGTTATAATAATTTACATGAATTAGCGCAAGTGACATCGCCATCGCTGCAGCCCATATGGATTTGTCTTCTAAATACCAAGTCAATTCATCAACGCAGCCATTACTGAAAGCATGGCCTGTGACAGTGTCCCGACATTCAATTGGAAGTGGTTGACGTAGAGTGATGTAGTCATTCGGGCCGTCTGCTCCACAACATCCAACCTTTATTGGTAACAATGAGGATGTCAAAATAAATATTTTTTTTATAGATTCTTAACTTATTTTGATATTATTTCCTTTTCAGATTGTGTGCCCCTTGATAATTTAAAAAGTTCATAAACATGTTTATCTTCGTATATTTTCGTAGTCTAAAGGTGAAAAACAATGATAGCTGTGGCTTTTTAAATCATACTTAAGCGTAACGAATAAATTAACAAATTACAGCGTTGGGAGAAACATAAATATGTATCTACTCTGAAACTTTTACATTGCAACAAATAAAAGCTCTTTTACTGTCATTAATTTTAATTCTTTAATCACTTCTAGGTACTACGACCATATAGCCTTGCTGCTCCTTCTAATTTCAAAATTATCCTATTTTGATAGGTTATTAAACGAACGTTAATGGTGCGCTAGAAACTATTTCAAATTATTCAAATTTTCTTTGCCTTCTGGAGGGAGCTGCCTTGGAACACCAGAAGACTCAACTCTTTCTTTCAAACAATTGAATACTAGTTAAAGATACACTGAATGAACAAAAACTTACGCTTTCTTGAATTAAACTGAGCATACCACTCCATGGCTGATATTCGGATGTCATAATCAAACGATTCATTGTGTGCCTAATCATTGGTTGAATACGACTACCGTATGTAGAAAATTCTAACAGGATAGCTGTTCCGCAGATAGCCAATAGAAAACAAATTATCTGGGTGATGGTAAACTGAAAAAAAAAGAAAAATTAACAAAAAAAAGGAGAAAAACAAAAAACTAGATGACCGTTTTTCTGTTTATAAAAAAAAACTTCCTATTTGAAAGTCATGTTTTTGGTTTTTCTTCTTAATATATTTACAAATAACATTACCAGAATAAGAGCTACACCATGTTCCATCAAGGCAGAGCAGCATCCAAGAAAGCTCGTAATTAATACAAGAACAGATACTCCAATTAGAATATAAACTCCAATATAATATGCATATATATTTAGTATTGAAATCCATTCCTCAAAACCCGGTTCAACACGAATCCATACCGAAAAAGCGAACAAACCTAATCCAATTAGCTAAAAATATTAAAAGTAACAAAGTTAAATGAGAAAGAATAAATATAATGTCTAATTTATTTTGATTCTTTCTATCGATGCTACAGAACAATCTTTTTTTTGTATATTTATCACTTGACAGTAGATATTTTTCATGATTTAATTTTATAGCATTCACTAAACTTCCGCTTAAGTTGAAAACGATAAATCAAGACATTGATTAGAAACACATTCTACAGGGTATGAATCTAGAGAATTGAATATCAAAATCTTATTGTAATCTCAAAAATTTAAATAGGTAATAATTCGTAAATCAGATCTTATTTTTGCATATCTTTCAGATATTTCAAAACAATTTAGATATATAATTTTTTTTCAGGAAAAATCACGTTTAAAATGAAAATGTTTCTTTATTCATGAAGTTTGTTTTATTATTATTTTCAGTCGTACTATTTCATCTTCGTAATAGACATCAGATTGATGCGGAATAGACGGAATTTTCTAGGCAGCAAAGCTCAATTTCTATCGAAGTTGAAAGTGTTGTCACTGACATTTTTCACTAAGTCCATAGCCACCCATCAGTCAATCATATCGGAAGCAGATATTTAATCGATTATGATGGTATTTATTTTATTTTAAATAGGTAGGTAGGTAGGTAGGTATACTTCAAAAACCAATATTTTCGATATTTTAATGCGCCGGGAATGATGTTTCACTGAGCTAAACCTTAGAAGTGTCTCTCAATTTTTACACAAAGCCTAAAATAACGTTTAAAAAAGTTATTTGGAAAGATTTTTTCCTTTATTTACTTTAAAATTTCTGGAATAAATTTGCTACAAGAACTCAATTTTAATATTGAAAAACTGTGACATCATTCTTTCTTTACCGCAACATTTTCCTACTTCGAACTTAGTTTCTATAATTAAAATATTGTTTGGTGATTGTACATAGCGTGACCAGTTGCATCCGAAATATATAAGAATAAACAGCGTAGGTTATAACGATTTTAATACATAAAAACGTCAAAAGTTAGAAAAAACTAACTATTTAAGTACATATATATTTTCCGTTGGACAGTTAGCACAGCCTTAGTAGCTCTCTCGCTATCTAACCTTTTTGATCTTAATGAATTCATTTATCGATTCAAAAACACTCCACATCGTACCAAACCCTAAAAAATAAGCGTAGAATTATGAAAGAAAGATAACTCGAGTTCTTTCCTTTATTTACCTTTCCCAGGTTATAAATTAGATCAATGAAAGCTAAGAAAACCGTCTTTAAAATTTTATGTAGCAAATTTGATTTTGTAAATTAAATTTTTTAATTGTTAAAAAAATATAACTGAAAAATTAGTAAACATACAGATGTTTTAGTTTAAAATTTATTGATTCTTGTTTTCAAAAATATATGCCTCAATCGTCTGTCTATGCAAAGAAGCTATGGCCATAAAATTTAGTTTTTATATATCCACAAATTAAAGACTAGAATTTTTTCAACGTGCCTTCAAGAATATTCCGAATAATGAGTTCATATGGTTTCATCAAAAAAAGAAATGTTTGCTTCTCTGGATCATAATAGTTATCTTATCAGTAAACTTCTTTTTCTGTTTTGCTTAATATAAGTTTTCTGGGGAACGGCACGTTAGTCAACGTAAAATTATTTCAATAGAAACAAAATGTGAATCACAATAACTTTTGATCTATTCATATTAGAAAAATTTCAGTGAGAAGATATAAAAACTACGCAAAATTACAGAAACAATGTTCAAAATCATTCTTAATTGATTGGGCAAAATCAAATATTTCACAATAATAACTCACCCAAGCCACGATATTAAAACAAAACAGGGTATATTTTACACAAGCTATATTTCGAGCTAATCGAGCTGCACTTGCGCCACGTGAATCTGCTTTCACCATTTCAATGTTAAATTAAACTGTTAGTACTGTAAAATTTGAATATATTAATTTTAAGCCCTCAAACGTCTCTTTCAAACTTAAGTAATTGACATTTACTCATAAACTGGTGCTTCCAGTGGAAAAATATATTCGTTATCAGCCTCGCCCTAACAGTTTATCTTATCTCCATTTATTTTGATATGAATTTCAATGTAAATAGGATAGAATACTAGTAATGTCACCACCTCGAAATCGTAATAAGTAGTGTGACTACTAGTTTCGAACTTAATTTTTTTAGCTACATTTCATTTTTATAGTTAAAAACTTTTTAGAGAAGTACTTTGAACTATAGTCTACTTCTCTAAAAAGTTTAAAGCTATGTAAATAAAAAAGCGAAGAAAATTAAGTTCGAAACTAGTATTCACACTACTTATCACGATTTTGATGTGGTAAAATATACCTTATAAACTTTATAAAAAACAAAATGAAACAGAATGTTTATGCTTAGAAGCAATATTAAAACCTTATACGTATATCAAATTAAAACTCATAAATCTTTCACATGTATTCATTGCTTTTAAAAACTATTTTTAAGTAAACAAAGTGTCAAAGATTAAGTCATGAGGGTTTAATAAAATATTTTCTTAAAAAAAATCTCTTAAATAAAACTTTTCAAATTGAATTGAAGATATTAGAAGTCTTAAGAGCAGTGAGAAATAAGCAATTTAATAATAGATAATACTGAGAGGATCAAAAAATTTCAATATTTTCAATTTCTCTATTTATCAAACATTCAAAAATGGATCTAATTTAACCGAATCTCAATCTTAGAAGATACTAGCTACCTAATTATCATAATTTTCTATTCATTGAAATAATTGAATTTCAAATCACGATTTGAAGTTTCTAATAGTTTGCATTTTTGGAGATCGTATTCCAATCTGCTCAAGTAGTATTTAAATATATTCACACTTATAAAGGACTCTTGCATATTCACATAACAATAATAATAATAACATTTATTCAACAAGCTGTGGTAGCTCAAAAAGAATATCCAACAAGCATTAAAAAAGAAAGCAGCAATAGAAAACAGTATTTAGAACAAAAAAAAAACATGCAAATACATCAAGTCAAAAATTGTGAACAAAATCAAATTTGCAAGACTAGAGATTTTAGTTTTTCTTTGAAATTTTCCTTTGATAAGTGAAAGTCGGAAAGATGTTCCACTTCTTTAAAATCTCCAATGATTCTTGAGAGAGGACTGTTTTTGCCATAGTCTGTTCGATGGTGTTTAATATCTTTGAGAAGTACATTATTCCTTGAAGATAAGCATGCAGTGTTGAAGTTCAAAGAAGCTAAAATATTGAAATCAGATACATGTCCATTCATCACACCTGCCATAAAAAGATGTCCAGCTTTCTGTCTTCTCTCTTCCAATGTTTCCAGACCCAAATAATTATTTCTCTCTGTATATGATAAGTCTCTTTGAGGTATCATTCTTTTGCAAGTAAATTCAAGAAGTTCACAATGAGCAGTGACCTTTTGTAGACTATCAAGAACTAACTGTAGTGAAAGCTTAGTTACTTAGTAATTGAAAACAATATTTTTATATCTTTTTGTATAAATCAATTCAAAGGATTAAAGAAGGCAATTGGTTGAGGATGCGATAAAGAAATCAAATTACGTACTTTGTAAAATTTGTCGGTCATTGCGGTGCAAAAGAATATCTAAAGCTTAATTAATTATAATCAAATGAACAAGAGTTAATAAAACGGTAATTTTAGTAAAATGACATGAAACATAAACTTAGTATACTTACTTCTGAGAAAAGATGAATGAATGAATGAATCGATAGTTATTTTATCGTTTGTTTTATTTTATTTAATGTGTTTAAGGGTTTAGATAATTTTTTATTATTCTGGCTTAAGCTTACATTCTGATATTTTACAAATAAATAAACCCAAAATTAAAGGTTTCATATATTACATTTCATTGTGTCTTCTCATTGACATTTAAATGTGACAATAGCTATGTTGAAGCAAAAATCAATTCTACCTAGATAAGATTTTTGTCGCAAGTAAAAGTGTATTCTGATTCATATTATAAATACTTATTTATCATCAGCCGTTCAAAGAGTATCGTTACTTCTCCAAATGTGTATGTATATGAAATTAAAGTTATTAAGGAACTTTTTCTATTTTTCTTTTTTCTTCTGCTTCTAAGTATTCAATTTTTTAAAGATACAATTAGAACTTTACTGATAAACTAAATACATAATTTTCAAATTGAAACCCATTAATGTAACTATAAAAATTTAATATATATATATATATATATATATATAAATAGGTATATATATATATATTGATAAAGATTCATTCAATTTTTGCAACACTTTTGTTTTTTGTTACCAAGATTTTTGTAGGTTTGTTTATTTTCACGTGAAATATTATTTAGCATTAAATTAGCAATAAAATGTACTTTATGCTTCACTCAGATGTTTATTGCTGGTGCTGATTCAGCGAATTGTGAATAGAAACTTCTCCATCATCTTCTATTGGTTGAGAGACATAAATATTAATATGTTTAATTTTTTGCATGTCGTAAGTGAATAGAAATAATCTTCCTTACCTAGTCCTTTATGAAACTTTTCTAATTCCATCCAATGTCGAAGTCTCAACTCCTGTTCTTCCAGGTGTTGTCGTTGAAGCAAAAGTGTCAGTTGTTGACGAATTTGAGGTTTCAACTGCATACATTTAAGCATATTTCGAGCAGTATCTAAATGATGATTTTCCAATTCCTGCCATCAAAAAAACATAAAGAAATGTTAAGAAACCATAGATTTTCAAATTTCTGAAGATATGCGAGTGTTTCTAAATATGAAAAAATGATTTTGTTATAAACATTTTACTCAAATAATAAATCACTAAATAAACATATTATAGACATAACATATATGTATACATATCAAATACTATTAAAAATTTCTATGAAATTATAATTTTCCAAACCACTTACGTATGCTTTACACAAGGTAAATTGGTTTCGTGCAATTTTGTTTGTTGTTTGTGCATTTTTTGAAGAAAATATTTAGTTTCTTTTTAAAATAAGGACAAAAACCATATTTTTACAACAATATTAGCTACAATGAAATTACAAAGAAGATAAATGTAATAAGCATACAATCGGAGGTTATCAATCAACAAAAATGTTTTCCTAATTACAAAAATTTTCTTTCTAATATCCTTTTTTTATGTTTTTATGATTGTGAGTATTGTTTTATGAATGTAGAACTTTTGTTTGACCAGTATCCAATGTTTATTTCTTTCTTTGTCTTTTTTTTTTTAATTAGAGAGCTTACCAATGGAAAATCATCGGACGGTTCAGCCGCTGATGTGAAGAAAGCCTTTATCATCTGATTAGAATATTTATTTATCATATGAACATTTTTTGATGGTATTGAAACCGATGAATAGCTTTGTTGTTTTTCAAAACGTCCTAACAACGGTTGCAGCTGCTGAATAATCTTTGGATTATCACAACGATTGGGAAAGGATGAAGCAGAGGTTTGATGATATAATGGAAAAGGAAATGGTTTTGAATTGGTTGGAACATTTGAGTTTGTTGTAACGTGATGGATACGGCTATTTATAGACGGAAGATGTGAATGAGTATCTAAACAAGGATTAAATGATTGTTGCCAAGTATTAGTTGACGATTTTCTGCTCCTTTTAGAGGATATTTTAGAATGCGGAATTGAGTGTATAGACGCTGTTGATTTCTTCAATTTGTAGCCACAACTGCTTGATTTTGTTGTAAAATCTGAAAATGAAGAGGAATCGCCGTCACCACCACATAATCCCGATGAAAGTGATGATATTTCACTTTCATCATCAGAATCGTAGTCAAAACTTATAGTTGTTGTATCGTCACTTTCACTAAGCTGTCTTTGATGCTTGTAAAGAGATTTAAATGAGTGCTTTGGATTACATATTAATGGTCGTCCATGATATGTATCATAATTTCTGATATTTTCGTCATCTTTTAGATCTAACATTATAATGTTGTCGTAACTTCCTCCTAGCACGGGGGGATTAATATTTAACCTTAGCATTCTTCTATTATCTTTGTATTGCTGCAGACTAGATGTTTTTTTTATCTGTCGCAAAGTTGGTATCACCTTTCGACCATCCTTTTTAATAGATTTTTTTCTTTTTGTCGTCATCGTTGGTAAACTTTGACATGAAATACATGGACGTAAAGTTTTATAGTTTGAATTTTTGACAATTGGTTCTGCTATTGTGTATTTTTCTTTGTTTCGGAAAAGTGATGCTAATTTTGCTTTGAAAGAAGTTTGTAGATATGATAATGATGAGCTTGGACTTTTTGGTACCTCGTGATGAGAAAAATAGTTTTTAGAATCCGAATGTTTACGTAGCAATTCGTCATTTTCTTTTACGGCTTCGTTGATATTATATCGTCCATTAATCAACTCATAGTTGAAAGATCTTCTTTCCTCCAAACTTTGACGTTTCATTAAAGATCTCGTTGATTTTGGTATGTCAGTACTAAAGCTTCTTACATATTCCTGTCTACGATGACCATCCAAATGAAATCCTTTCAATTTTACTGATGGTTTATCGAGTTTCAACAATGGTGGATTGAAGTTAAATATTGGTACATTAAACGACGATTCAGAAAATGGCGAAAAATTTATTTTAGGAACATGAAGAGTACTTGGAATACTTAAGGAAGTTGATGAATCTAGAAAAACTTTTGAGCTTTGAGGCGAAGGCAAGGGATTATTTAACAAACCCTGCTTCGATGAACTTTTCACAAGTGGTGCAGGAGTTGGTTCTCCTATAACAGTCAAGTTATTTTGGGAACGCGAATGAGGCTGACGATTAGGATGAAAGATCTGTTGTAAATTTTGTGACAACGATCGTGTCCGATAATATTTTCCATTCAATTGTCCGCTCTTCAATGGCTGTTGTTGATGGATAATAAATGAGTAATGTGCAAATTTATTTTGAGTCTATTTTGTTTATTTTTTATACGTGTGTGTTTGTGTGTGATCTTTTTTTTTGGTAAATTATTTTTCCGTATAATTAAGCTTATATAGACATACATTTACCGGATATTTTAGTTATTATGATTAAAAAAACAAAAGAAAAGAAGAACGTAAAACTATCAGGAAAAATATTTAATTTATAATGTAGAAATGTTAGCAAAATAAAATTTGAATACTATTATAGCATCACTCCAACAATATTGTAAAAAAAATTATATTGTCACAAAACGTTGTAAAAATTTTTTTTTTTTGAAACTTTTTTTTGTTATTTGCACATACATATGTTGAAGTTTCAAAGGGCATTCAAAATAAAATTGTGACAGCCTCGACAATGCATCGAAAGTAGGTATAAAAACATAACATAAAATAAATAAATTAAAAAACAATGCGGCATGCTACATCAAAATAAGGCGCCAATACAGAGAGCATGGTCCCTTGCAGACAATTTAATAATTTAAATATATATATATATATATATATATATCAGTAAATGTTTATTTGTACTTACCACACCACCATGATGCTGTTGGAAAAATATTTGAGCTTGATTCTGCTGAGATGGAGTTGCTGGTGATAAAATCGAGGTTTGTGATTGTTGCTGACGCTGATCTGAATCGGAATAATTTTGTGTTGATTTTTGAACAGTTTGAGGATAAATTGACTGCTGATGTGAATGACTTTGATTATTTTTTTTTTTGCTGCAGCTGCTGCTGTTGTTGTCGCATCTTTGGATCTTCAGCCACCTTAGATATTACAAATCGAGAAAGTTTTTTAATAGAATTATCAATAGATGCACTCGGTTTTGATTGTTGTGCAGATGAAAGTGAAAGGTCTTGATTCTGTTGAATTAGATTGACGTGTGGTACAAATTGCTGTTGAACAGTCGTCGGTGACTGTCGGACAGCTTCAGAGTAAGACTGTATCGTTGGTGGCTGCTGTTGCAAAACAGCTCTTTGATTATGCAATTTCGATAATTGTTGATCGAGTTCAGATAACTGACTAATTTTTGGTGTGATTTTTGCCACATCTTGCTGTTGGACATGGGTCTGTGATGATGTTGAAAAAGCCTGAAATATTGAGGGCAAAGATGGAAAAACTAGTTCATTTCTGACCTCGCACGATGGGCTCGACGCAGTTGCTGGTGAACTGATTTCACTAAATAATTGTTGCTTTTGCAGATCAATGTAAGAACCATCATATGCCGTTGCCTTTATTTTAAATTAAGTAGATATGCTAACAATAAAAATAAAGTGGAAAAGAAACATTCTTAACATACCTGGTTAAGTTGTGTTTCTTGCTGGGCTGTGGATGTTTGTTGTGTTGTCAGGAGTGTCAACTTTTGATGTAATTCAGCTAAAGTATTTTGGCCCGAACTGAAAAGAAATTATTATAAAAATTTTATTTGTAGGTAATTGAAAATATATTATCAAAGGACGAACTGTTAAGAATTAAAACAGAAAACATCTAAAATTGAAGAAGTCATGCCTAAACTTAAACGCATGTGGAGCAACTTTTATGCCACAATCATAATCACTAAAACAGAGAAAGATTATCTATTTAAACTTTAATATCAAAGAAAAATTCCTTTATAAATTTAGAACCTATAAGTTTCACCTTTAAAAAGTCCATTGGGTGTTCATAATTATGGTAAGAAAAGAATTTTAGTTTTATTTCAACGTACAAGTTGAAAACTGAATTTGCAAATATGGCTAGTTTTTAATATAAAGCCAAGAGTTTTGAAGTTAATGCTAATATAGAGTCGTGAACTTATTGAAGAAAAAAATAATAATTACTTTTCAATGCTCATCTGATGAGAAACAGGTTGTTGGAAAGTCGTCCTTGCTCTAACAGTATCGTCCAATGTAACCTGAGCAGCTGACATATCATTGTGGAGAATACTTTCTTCGACTTCCTCCATAATACCACCTCCAGATGCAGTACTCATTAAATCTGTTGGATTTGTGTTAATATCAGCTGATGTTCGTCTTGAATTATAAACCGAAGTATTGTCATTGGTAGTCATTGATCCAATTTCATTTGATTGACAATCTGTACTGTTTTCAATTCGTCCTTCAGAAACTGGATCAGGAATTTCATCATTCATATCTTGGTTCTGACCACTACCAGTACCTTGAACAAGTGATTGTTGCGTAGAAAAGATTTCTTTACTTGATCTTGAAACATGAGCATGAGTTATATTTTCCAATTCAATTTTGAGCTGTTCTAAAGTTTCCGGCATTCGGAAACCTGATCCCATCAATTGTTGAGGCTGAACTTCAGATTCAGTTGCTTCTAGTCTTGGAAAGTTTTCTTCATTAATATTCATCTCAATCGATTTTTGTTGTGAATCGTGTATTTGAGTTGACGAAACTGGTACTTGAGTTCCTTCTTGAACTACTAATTCATGGTTAACTGTTTCAATCACAGTTGGACTTATTAAGAAACGAGATAGCTTCCGAACTGGAGATTGCTTAATCGTCTGATTTAAATCTAGAGATGATATTGTTATTGCTGAAGACAAATGTTTTTGTTCGTTCATAGTAGATTGACTATGTAATACCGTGTTTTCTGGCGTGCTTTCAATTGACAAAATATTATTATCAGTTGTTGAACTCGACCTACGTGAAATATTTGTGCTATTCATCGATCTATATGTTGTCGCAGCAGTCGAAGTGCTCTGATTTAAATTATTGTTTAAGGCATTATTTAACAAAAAGGAGCTATCGCTACAATTTCCTTCTTCTGATTGTTTGTTTTTTGGCGTCTCACTTTCCGTTGATTGAATTGGAATTACTGTGTTTGAGGTCACATGTTTATGTGACGGCTTCTGTGGGGAACCTGATGGTGTAACGGCAGCTGCAATATTTTGGGGCTTTTGTGCATCGTCGGTTATCGCAGAATTAGAATTAATTGATCCAGAAACAAGTGACTGACAAGCGTATATATGAGGATCAAACATGTTTGTTAACGATGACGACGACGATGGATGTCCACCACCACTAGATGTCATTTCATCTCTCTAGTATAATGGAAATATTTGGAAGAATATTAACTTTCAAAAATTTTACGAAAGTTAAAAGTAACACAGCACATTCATAAATTTGAAGTGATAATTGAAGGGTGAAAACTTTAATATGTTAAATAATTTGTTTATGAATAGGAAAATTTGCTCTTAGCTACATATGTATGTAGTGAAAATATATCTTAGTGCTTTAATACACATAATTAATTCATTTCAAATTTTAAAAATTAATATTAGTTTTTAAAAACGTATCTAAATAAAGTATAAAGTGAAATTAATTAACGCTAAATATTTGACACTGAGCATGAACAATAAACACTTTCATAACTTTTACTGCTAATTCAAATTATTTATAGTAATTTCTAATTGAATTATAGTGAAAAGTTATAAAAGTGATCTATATTTAGTGTTCATACTTCTTGTTTCAAATAAATTATTAAATAAATAATAAACGCTATTCATTATCTACACCATTTTGAAAGTGTAAAAAATTTACAAACTTACAGATCTGTGTCTCTGATGTGACTTATAAAGTGATCGTTGTCGGGTTAGTGAAGCATGACGGACCTATTGGATTTGGTGCCGCACAATTTAATGATTTTATCCATTTTTGCATTTTATATTTAATTATTTGTATATAATTGTTAGTGAGTTTGTTAATCAAAAGATTAAATCAAAAACGAAGAATAGGAAAACGAAAGTATGTAGCAAGTTTTCAAACAGTTATTAGACAGAAAAATAGATAACATTGTAAAGATTTTTGAGCTTTATGTTTCTATTTACTCAATTTCCTATTTCTTTAAATAAAAAATATTTTTCTTAATGCAGGAAATTTTTTATTCACTCACCTGACGATATTTGAGAGGTCTTTGAACAATCGGAATTTGTTTGGAATTCTGTTTTACTTGTTTAACAATTTCCCGAATCATATCAATGAAAACTTGACTCTGCTCTTCCGAGAGAAGATCTTGAGTGACCTGAAAATTATTTCAAATAACTTGTTATTTAAAAATGTTGCTAAATTATAACTTACCAGATCATTAGCGACCTCTACAGGATTAACTTCATAAACATCAAACTTAAACGTGACAGTTTTCGGCTTCACTTCCATTTCACACTCCACGATTTTTTCTTCCGTTAAGCTCAAAACAACCAACTTTGGATATCGTTCAGTTGATTTGTTAGGTCTTCGTTGTTTTTTGTTTTGATTGTTGTTCATAAAACTTTGTGGTTCATTGGAACCAGAATCTGACTCTCCTTGTTTTAATGGATGTTGTTGTGATACTTGAGTTGTTTGTTGTTGAGACCTTACATTCTGATCTTGTGTCGGATTTGTTGTTAACACATTTTTTGGGACATGTGGTTGTTGTGGAAGCATTTGAATTGTTGATGTTTGCTGATTTGAGTTTAGCGATGCTGTATTTATATCCTTTGAAAAAGTTTGCTGATTCAAAATAGTCATTTGAGGCATAACTTTTTGATGCGAACTATCCTGCTGTTGTGTTGCGGCCACATTGTTAGGAATATGGTTTGAAGCCATTTTTGATTGAATGCATCCATTTCCGATAAGTTTTTGTTGCTGCTGATCAATAACTTTAAGTTTCGCTAATTCTCTTTCTTTTGCAGCTGCTTCACGTTCTTGCCGATCCTTCACCAAAGTCAATACTTGAACTTTTAAAAGTTTTGAAACAGCTCGAGAATCTTCCTCCATAATAAGCCCCGATTTAAACATTTCATTAGTCATCTCATCAATCATCGACAGTAATATCAAAATCAAATTGAATTGCTTCGTTTTCTTTATGAGATTTTATAAATTTCCTTTTATGATCCATTCGGAGACGAAATTCAATCTTTTTTGCATCTTGATTTTGAAGAAAATTATCTTTCGAAGATGGCTCAGGTTCCAATGTTATTCCAGCCACCTCACAAAAGAAATCAAATTTTAAAAGTTCAGAACAATTTGGCCGTTCTTCTTTCTTCAGTCGAATACATCTCTCAATAATTTCAGTTACTTCAACATTCTCTACTTTATCAAAACTTGCTGGCTTAATTCCTGATGTTACTTTTTTATAAATTTGTGCTGGTCCTGAACATTCATTGTATGGATATTCACTTGTTGCCATTTCTAGCATGCACATACCAAAAGCATAAACATCAACTGCCTCATCATAATGCTCTTCATACATCTCTGGGGCCATAAATTCAGGTGTTCCAATTACAGACTTTGCGTAACTTCGATTTTTAAGAGTTGCAAGACCAAGATCGCCAATTTTCACGCTACCAGTTGTTCCTGTTATGAATATATTGTCACACTTTAAATCCCCTATAAGAATGAAAAAGTATAGTGTAATTGTGATTAAAAAAAAGCTAGAAAGTACATATATATGTAGTAACTTACTATGAATAATTGGAGGTGACCTCGAATGAAGAAATGTCAAACCTTTTAAAATTTGACGACACCATGATCGAAGAACCTTTTGATTTATTTTTTTAAATCTTCTTAAATATGATTTCAAAGTTCCAGATAACATAAGCTCTGTGACTAACACTATATTCTTCTTTCTAGCTATTGACGTTTCCCAATAATTGTAGAATCTTACAATGTTCGGGTGCTGAAGCTTTTTGAGCATTTCAGCTTCTTCGCGAAAACGCTGACGTTCTGCTTTATTGACTTTTTTGTCAAGGAGTTCACACCAAGCAACAGCAACCCCGGTGTGAGAATCCAATCCACGAAAGACAGTTTTAAAAGAGCCACGACCAACTTCGATATCATATTTAAAGAAACGTCCACAAGGACTTACACCGATCGGTTCATCTTCATCGTCATCTTTGTCCTTTTCCTTCTGAAGTTGTAATTGCCTATGAGCTTCTTTCGGATCATATTGTGGGCCAAATGGAATCATACGATCTTCACCGGTTGTTGCTTTAAATTCTTCTTCAATTTTTTCCTCTTCTCTTGATAATATTTCAATATTATCATCGAGATTCCTTGGATATTCCGTCTCGATCGTATCATTTGATGAATCATAGACACAACCTTTTGCCACAAAAACTCCCATATTTGTATTCTCTAAACTCTTACGATAAAATCTACTGGCTTTCTGTTGAAAAGAATGACTGCTGTTCGTGTTAGCTTGACGAAGTGCTTCAATATCAACTATTGGAGGTGTTGCAGGACGTGGTGGTGGCAATGGTGGCTCTTTCGCTTTTACATCATGAAGTTCAATAGCTTCCACAGCCGCATCAATCTCATTTATTTTTTCAGCTTTCTCACAAATCACTGCTTTTCCTCCACAATGATCATGAAGAGAATTTTGACATTCACGACTAGAGTTATGGTCACTTGGACTTAAATCAGCGCTTGACGAGCTTTTGATTGAGCTGGAACGCGAAAGGCTCATTTTTGCCGATGGTAGGGCAAAATCAATGATTCGACTTATTATTCCACCCGTGGTTGATGGTGTTGGTAGATTTAAATTTTGCTTCGGTTCAAATTGCTGCTGATTTTGCTGCAATTGGTTTTGTGTTATTTCAGATGAAGCTCCAGATGAAACTCCAGTTATTGCGCGTCGTTGTCGTGAAGATTGGGACTTTTGCACCGTTTGTTGATTCCTTAAATTTTAGAAAAGGAAACTTAAATAAGTAATTTTCAAAAGGATTTTTTCGTAGTGAACAGATTGCATTCAAAAAAGAAACGTTGAAAATTGTACGCATGACTTAAAAAAAATTTATGAATGTAAAAAAGTAATTCTCTAGTATTCAAGCACTTTTAAACTTTTGAATTCAACATTTAACCTGTTCTTACAATTTTGTTTGCTCACTTAAAATACAAAAAATATTCAAGTTAAAATTTACTAACTTATTTTTTTGCGTGGTGTATTTATTGCTTCCACCGAAATATCGAAAACTTGGCACTTTTTGTGATAAGAATTCAGTGCCTGGTCTACTAACAGGATGGTGTCGATAGCAAGAACGTATTGATGTTGATGAAATTATAGAATGCTTGTTGGTATTATTGTTGGGTACGTTTAATTTCTCTTCTTCCTTGATCAAATTGTCGTTGATCTGTTGATCATCAACATTAAAAAGAATTTTATTTTTCGCTACGGTGCTAATATTGTTGTTAATCTTATTGATAGATTGCAATGTCTGATTAATAGGACACGATTCTGTCACTTGATCTGGCGATTTTTCAACGGTGTTAGATGATTTATCGACAATAGATGAATTATTGCGATATTCTTGCGACTGATTAATGTGCCTAATTGTTTCAGTTATTAAATGGAGTTGATGAGAGGAGAAAAATAGTTTGATATAAAGATATAAAAGGAGGAGAATGTTAATTTATTGACTATAGTATATGTATATTTAAATAAATATTCCATATTATTTGAGATAAGAAAATCTAAATAATGATAAATTATTATGACACAAATAACTCAAATAAAATCAAGAAAAAGAGGAAAAGTCAAAAGCAATTATGAATTACTAAAATACTTATGAAGTTAATTCTGATTGAAAAGAAAAACCTCAACATTCTCTATGGAAATCATTTTGAAAGATGTTATTCCAATACTTAGTTTCTGAGGTCAACAGAATTACAATCAATTGAAAGTTTCACATAGCTTTAAAAGTCTTGATAAAGTATCACACAAACAAATTAATTCATCCATACCTATGGATAGTCAAATGTTTATGGACATGAAGGGGAATTCGAAAAAAATTGCTCTTCGGATGGACGTTTTCAAGAAAGAATATACAAGACTCACTCTTCGACTTTATTTTGGTCAACTGATAACTTGGTAACGGCAGATCCACAGGCTGAGGATGAACTGCAAGATTGTGTGGCTGTTGTTTTTTCAACAACCTTTTTAGCCGCATTATTTCGTCGGCCTATCTTATCGGTTTGTCGCTGCCCCAATGTGATGCCGGATTATTTTTCTAGGTAGCAAATATGTATAATTTCACAAGCTAGAAATAAAATATATTTGATTTTTTACTATTGATTACTTAATATTGCACTTTAAATTTTTTACAAAGGAAATTTGAAATTAGAATTACTTCCAGCTTATTTAAGCGTTTTTACTAGATATTAATTAAACAGGTAAAGATTTGTTTGTTCTTCTTGTTTCCCTTTGGATTTGTTTATCGAACTATTGAGATAAGCGGTTCAAGAATAGAAAACTAACTGCGATTAACTTAAAAATGTGAAATAAATAATTTCCTTATTAGTTCTAAGTAAAAGAAAAAATATTAATTATATTTAGTGAGTAGAAAAAAAAAGATGATGAGGATAAGCTCAGCCCAAAATTTCATCATCATCACAATTTTTTAAATTCAGATTCTGAATTGCGCACTTAAGCTCAATACAAACAATTAAATGAAAATCAATTTAATTGATCACTTCTTTAACGTTGTTTTTTAACGAAAAAAGGAGTTTTCAAGACTCATTAGTTCTGTCTGAATATATGCGAGACAAACTATTTTGACGAATGTGTGGCGATGGAAATGTGTCGTCTTTATGTGTTTCAATATTTTCATCATCTTCGATTGCATTCGCGTGTGCGAGGCAAATGAACTTGATGAAAAATTGGGTTATGGATTAGAATTTATTAAGTGATCATCAGTGCCCTCGACTTTATCATCATGGAAATATTTTAAATACGTAAACTTTTCTATTTAGTAGATAAGATTACAATATTTATGTACAAACCCCAATTGCGATTTTACTTAGTAGGTTTATTAATATGTATTAGCATTTTCGATTGATTAATAATCTTGTATAATCTTTTATCTTTAGCGCTTTTTGTTAGTTATTTAATCAACTACGTAGTACCACCTAATATTGCTAATGATATACGAAGAAATCAACAAAAGTGTCTTTTTTATGAATTACCGTGCTTTTTATCTCCAGACTGTTTCAAAACAAATTTTTTGCAATCTTTTCAAATTTATTATATTTTAAGTGCAGGATCAAAGTAAAATTCTACTAAATCATACGATTCTCGCAACTTTTAGATTAGAAAAAAAAAGTTTTACTTTTGAAATTACCTTTTCAAGCAAGGGTAGAAAAAAGGTGTATTTATTTTGTTTTCATTTCCTTGTTTTTAAATATCAAAAGACCGTTAAATATGTATATAAAAACTCTATGTGAGTGATGAAACATTTTCATTGCAATGCATGGTGCAGATACAAAACGCTGATTTTGAAATATAATTTCTTACAAAAAGTTGCAGTAAGTTATAAGGAACAACTTTCCCAAAAACACCTCATACCTAAATCTTTCAGTTTAGATTTTATACAATTTTTTTCTCTTTCAACTGCTACGGCACTTTATGTGGAGAATCTGCCGTTAATATAAATATGGAAATCTGGCTTCATTGGCTTAAAGTAATGGAGTCAGAAGAATTTTTGAATTTCACTACGAAAAAGTACAGATATATAAGATATTTGCTAATGTCACATCAAGAAGGTTTTGGTCGAGAGGTACGAGTGTTGGGATTTGTGTTGAAGGTCTCGAGTTCGAATCCCGGTCGAAGTAATTTTTTTTCATTAAATAAGAGGAATGGGGACAATGCAAAGTCATGGGACATGCAGAAATAACTAAGGTGGGCCAGGAAGTGAGTTGACAAGTATCCGAGAGATGAGCTATGCAAGCGAAGGAAAAAGATTTACGATTTCTACGAATACTTACTCATTTAAGTTACAATATTGCAGTGACATGACAAAAGAATATAGTAAGGACAGTAGTAGAGTGTATTATCGTCAGTATGGAAAATACTTTTTGCCAGAGATCCTGGGTTCGAGACCAGACAAGCACAGTGAGAGGGTGGGGGTGGTGGGCGGTTTTCTTTTTTTTTATTTTAGATATCTGCCGAGAGCATCTCATTGGAACCAATTGCATCCTTCCAGGCCTTACCGTTTAGCCACAATCACGACTTGAAATTCCAATTTTCACTATCGAAAATGATTTCTAGTGTTAAACTATTTTTCTGTTTCTTAAATCCATATTGATGTTTTTTTATTTTTTCAAGTCCATGATGAGATGTATCCATTGATACCTCATTCACCTTGATACGACTTACGGTTTAGGACTTATAGCTAAACAAAGTTTCGTATTTTTGGGAACTAGCGATTAAATAGACCTTCACGGGATCTTCCATTTGGGGCACTTAGGATTTTTTGAAAAATCTGATTAGCGCAATATGGAAAGGTGATTAAATTACGCAATTTTCAAGACATAATTGAACTCTTTGACTATCACCGTTTAGCCACAATCACGACTTGAAGTTTGTTTTTTACTATCGAAAATGGTTTTTCATCAATCAAATTTTTTCTGTTTCATAAACTTGCTTTGATGTCTATAGAAGAATTAAACCTACTGATGAGATGTATCCATTGATACCTCATTCACCTTGATACGACTTACGGTTTAGGACTTATAGCTAAACAAAGTTTCGTATTTTTGGGAACTAGCGATTAAATAGACCTTCACGGGATCTTCCATTTGGGGCACTTAGGATTGATTGAAAAATCTGATATTGCGCAATATGGAAAGGTGATTAAATTACGCAATTTTCAAGACATAATTGAACTCTTTGACTATCACCGTTTAGCCACAATCACGACTTGAAGTTTGTTTTTTACTATCGAAAATGGTTTTTCGTGAATAAGTTGATTTCTGTTTCATAAACTTGCTTTGATGTTTTTTTATTTTTTCAAGTCCATGATGAGATGTATCCATTGATACCTCATTCACCTTGATACGACTTACGGTATAGGACTTATAGCTAAACAAAGTTTCGTATTTTTGGGAACTAGCGATTAAATAGACCTTCACGGGATCTTCCATTTGGGGCACTTAGGATTGATTGAGAAATCTGATATNTTTTAAAACTTAAACCATCCAAAGTCTTTAACTTTATTTGTTACGTACAAGTCACCTAAACTTATAGAGTATAAAAAAAATCCATATTGAAAACGAATTTAATTCACATAAGGAACATTTAAATGTCACATTTTACAATTTTTTCAATTTAATATTTAAGAATTGAACATTCAAAGTATATTCGCATCACACATTTGTTGCATAAAAATTACCTCAACCAATGAAGTATAAGAAAATTGTAGCTAGTAGATGTATTAAACCTACTGATGAGATGTATCCATTGATACCTCATTCATCTTCTTCAGACTTGCGGTTTAGGAGTTACAGCTAAGCAAAGTTTCATATTTTTGTGTACCAGCGATTGAATAGACCTTCACGGGATCTTTCATTTGGGGCACTTAGGATTGATTGAAAAATCTGATATTTTCACGATAGAAAGGTGATTAAATGGTGTTTATTTTAAGACATAATTGAACTCTGAAACTAGCACCGTTTAGAAGATATTCAAAAACAAAGTTGAAGTTTTTTTTTACTATCGAAAATGGTTTTTCATCAATAACTTTTTTTCTGTTTCATAAACTTGCTTTGATGTCTATAGAAGAATTAAACCTACTGATGAGATGTATCCATTGATACCTCATTCACCTTGATACGACTTACGGTTTAGGACTTATAGCTAAACAAAGTTTCGTATTTTTGGGAACTAGCGATTAAATAGACCTTCACGGGATCTTTCATTAAAGGCACTTAGGATTTTTTGAAGAATCTGATATTGCGCAATATGGAAAGGTGATTAAATTACGCAATTTTTAAGACATAATTGAACTCTCTAACTATCACCGTTTAGAAAATATTCAAAAACAAATTTGAAGTTTGTTTTTTACTATCGAAAATGGTTTTTCATCAATCACATTTTTTCTGTTTCATAAACTTGCTTTGATGTCTATAGAAGAATTAAACCTACTGATGAGATGTATCCATTGATACCTCATTCAACTTGATACGACTTACGGTTTAGGACTTATAGCTAAACAAAGTTTCGTATTTTTGGGAACTAGCGATTAAATAGACCTTCACGGGATCTTCCATTTGGGGCACTTAGGATTTTTTGAAAAATCTGATTAGCGCAATATGGAAAGGTGATTAAATTACGCAATTTTCAAGACATAATTGAACTCTTTGACTATCACCGTTTAGCCACAATCACGACTTGAAGTTTGTTTTTTACTATCGAAAATGGTTTTTCATCAATCAAATTTTTTCTGTTTCATAAACTTGCTTTGATGTCTATAGAAGAATTAAACCTACTGATGAGATGTATCCATTGATACCTCATTCACCTTGATACGACTTACGGTTTAGGACTTATAGCTAAACAAAGTTTCGTATTTTTGGGAACTAGCGATTAAATAGAACTTCACGGGATCTTCCATTTGGGGCACTTAGGATTTTTTGAAAAA